ATGGGGTGGGGGGTTGTAGGGGGAGTGAGGGGTGGGGGTAGGGCGTGGGGTGGGGGGTGTGGGTAGTGCGGGGGGGCGAGGGTTTAGGGTAAGGAAAAAAAAAAAAAAAACAAAAAAAAAAAAAAAAAAAAAAAAAAAAAAAAAAAAAGAAAAAAAAAAAAAAAAATAAAAAAAAAAATAAAAAAAATAATAAAAAAAAATCAAAAATAAAAAAAGAAAAAAAAAAACAAAAAAAATATAAAAAAAAAAAAAAAAAAAAAAAAAAAAAAAAAAAAAAAAAAAAAAAAACAAAAAAAAAAAAAAAAAAAAAAAGAAAAAAAAAAAAAAAAAAAAAAAGAAAAAAAAAAATAAAAAAAAAAAAAAATAAAAAAAAAAAAAAAAATAAAAAAAAAAAAAAAAAAAAGAAAAAAAGGGCCCTGCCAGGTGCAGATTCAGCCAGGAGCAAGAGGGTCAGGACCAGCAATATCTCCTTGAGGAGAAAACTACTGGGACAGATCGATGGAACCCGAACATTTTGGCCTTATTTATTCCCCCTTAGCTTACCCTTGAGTCCTACAGTTTACCTACATGGCTTGCATCTCCCAGAATTTGTATCTTCTGGAAGTCTCAGAGACCCTGAGACACTCTCTGTGGCTTAGAATTAATTCCTGAACTTCTAAACCACCTTGCAATCATTACTATACCCATCTGTACCATCAGTTACTTAATATTTATTTAAATAATTTTATTTTTAATGAAAACTAACTTTACTACAGTAACTGGGGGGGAAAAAACCCAGTCATTTTATTCAAAGTAGAAGATAATCATACAACTAATACAATGGAAATAAAACTCAATCTGGAGCCTGCAGAAATCTGACACTTGCCCTCTGATAGAGGTTGAGACTGGCATTGAAAATGTCCTAGCACTTGACTAAGTCCTCCTTATTGGTTGGTGGTAAGGCCAGATTAGTTGGGTTGGCCAGTGCTTATCATGTTGCTGTAGGCAAAAAGTTGGAAAGGAAATAATTATTGTATGCTATTTAAGTACCACTTTCGATCAGTTTCTTTGCAAAAGCCAGGGCTGATGATGGTAAGAAACATATAGCCCCCACTGGCTAGTATACTATAACACTTCATGTGGTCTTCACACTACCCTACGAGGTCAGCATGATACATACTACCTTAAAAATGGGTAGCTGAGGATGACAGATAGCCAGTAACTATCTGGGTGCCCCAATTTGTCAATGCCCAAACCAATTGTAACCCCTTCGTCACAGTGCCCAGCTCTAGGATGGCTCATATCCCATTGAGAACTGGGGAGGGAGGCGGCTGCCTTGGCCAGTTTTCATAGCCCAACTGTGGCCTGTTTACTCTGCACAGGGAGAGGGCATAGGATCTGAGAGACAGAGAAGAGTAAAATCTTGGTGAAGGCCCCAGAGGAAACTTGGGACACTGCTAAGGACAGATGCCAGGTCTCTAGGGAGGACCTCACTGCTTTTTAACAGAGCCTGGCTGGCACCTGAAGCAAATACTCAAGATTTCCTACCTCCAGCCTTATACAATGGCCTGCTTTGTGTGCTAGGAGAGACGGGGAGACATCAGCACAAGTAAAATTCCATGTTATAGAACAAAGCCTGGTTTTGCACACTTGATACCTGTCAAGGACAGACATTTCAGCCATTGATCTAATGTGTTGTCCCTGGGAGCCTCCATCTGTCCCTTGATTGTACCCAGAGCCCAGAGAGGAAGTGGGTTTGAAAGTGGGTCCCAAACACCTCTGTGAGTCTTCCCCTTTAAAGCCTGGATGGAAAAAATTCACCATGAAAAGGCACAGCCCCAGGCCAAACCGACACACTGAGAAGGTCAAGAGAGGGTCAGAAAACGGATATTGAAAGAGCACCTGGAGAGGAGGCTGTGCCTGGGTCTCCATCACCTCCTCCCCAGTGCCCATCTCACACCTAGGGGGTTGGGAGGCAAGATGGTGGGAGGGTCCAAACAGAACACCCCTGTTTCCAATCACAGAGAATGCTGCTTATCAAAGGGACTGGGGGTACTAGGCAGCTGAGCTCTTGGGAGGCTGGAGCTGGGAGGTATAATATGACGAAAAGCTGCTTTAGAAAAGTGCGGGGCTGGGTTTGAGCTACGCTGTCCCCATAAATCAAAGCGCGACACACGGCACGCTGAAGATCAGCGAGACTGCGCACTGGGGTTGGGCGGCCCTTAAATCTAATCGACAGCTCTTTGAGCAAAAATACAGCCATGACTGGAGGACAGAGGTGGCAGGCAGCACGCTGGCACATATCCCAAGGACTGTGCGCATTTCCCAGGTGATAAGAATGCTGAATGGTTCTGAGCCGAGAAACCTTGGAAAACAATTAGCCAGGGAAGCAAGATAACCTGTTGAAATTATGGCCCGGCACTTTACAGCTCTTAATAAATTTTCTGGCAGCCTCTCTCTAGCTCAGGGTCCTGGTCTGCTTATACCTTTAGTCGTTGGGGGGAATTAAGCCATCAAAGTTTCATCTACCTGTCTGACTTCACTCAAAAGTACAACTTATTTGCCTGGATACCTTTCAAAACTGCTGTCTACATAGATTATAATTTAATATATAGTGGAACTAACACAAGACTGCCTGTTTCTTGAGTCTGAAATGTCAAAATCTGCATTTACACATTCTGAATTATCTTCAACACAGCACACACTTTAAATGGTAATCGCACCATAAGCTATGAGGAATTAAAGAAATGACACTGAGATTTACTTTTAATATCCACCATGTGCTGGTGCAAAGAGAACAGCATAGGCTGTAGATTTGAAACTACACGGCCACTGTTTTAACCACAGCTGGATCTGCTGCTCATAGACTCAGTTTTCTCATCTGTAAAGTGGGATCATGCCCACCATTTGTGTCCTGAAGACAAAAGGATATAAACATAGGGAAAGCAACTAGCATTAGCTCTTGTCCACTTAATAAATATAGCATCCTCCTTCTTCTAGTGCAGGTGGATGTTTTGAGTTTTTCCAGGTCAGTGTGCGTGGAGCGTTCATAGGATTGATTTTATTTTAACACCCATTTCTGTGAACGATTCTTTCAAGTACTTAAGTAAGTCTTGAGTCCCTAGAGTAATTTGTTTTGTTGGATATAAAATTCCAAGGGCAAGTTACTTAATTCATTTATGGCTCTGTTTTTTCCTAAGTTGGAAGATTCGGCAGGATAAATGATGATAAATATTTGGCCTAGTGCCAACGTCTGGCACTTACTAAGCACTAAAAAGACACTAGCTATTATTGTTCTTCACTTACAACCCTTCCTCCCCGCCAGTCATATGTATTTGGAGCTTCCTGTCTCAACCTAGAAGATTCTTGGCTTCCCAACTCTCAGGGCCCCTGAGGGTAGAACCCACGGCTTGTTTGTCCATGTCTGGGATCCTCTAGCCTTTAATGATGTCTGACATGAAGTATCTGTCATGTTATAGCTGAGTGTCATTTAATTTTTGTACTTCCTGTTAGGTTAAGTAGGAAGAAGAGTCCCAAACTCAAGGATTGATAGGGTTCAGTTAAAACTATTTTAAACTTAGGTATTTGGGCTTGTGTGGAGAGGGCTGTGACTGGGTGTTACTGCATAATGATGAAGAAAGGCTCATGCTCAGAGCTGAAGTGTCTTGAACCCTGACCAGTGATCTCAGAGAGTCTAGTGATTAGGAAGGCACAGTTATGAAGTGCATTGTCACATGCTGCAGAAGGATCTTTCAATCCCACCTGGTAGGGTATCCACGCATGGTTGCAAAGCAGAGAGCTCACTCACAAGCTAGCACAGAATGCCCAGAACACAGTAGGCTTTCTAAAGCTATTTAAAGAAATAAAGGAAATTCAACTTTCTTTTTTCCAACCTGTGCAGACTTGGGTTACTTTGTGGGCTTCTTCATGCCTCAGTTTCTTCAGATACAAAATAAGTACAGACCTGATGTTCTTTGTATGAGAAGTTAAAATCACTGTGATCATGAAACATTCAGCATGTAATGTAAACAGTTAGGAGTCATAATAAACATGCCTGCTAAAAAGAAATCTCAATTGCTCAGACACAAAGAACTTACAGTTTCTTTGGCTATATCTGAATAGCTTTCTTTAAATCTTTATTTTAGTGCCATTGTAAGTAGGACTCAGCTTCTATATGGAAAGTCAGAGAGTTGTTCCAACTCACCATCCGCAGTTGTTGAAAGGAACGGGTAATGCAAGTGGTTGCAAAATGCTTGCCTAAAATCTAAGGAATTATACAATAATAATAGTAATCATCTGTGACTAAAAGTATTTCCATCTTAGTAGGTTGTTAGTAATACATTTTCTCTTTACTTAAGTCTCTCTTTACCCTCTAAATAATGCATTACCCATTGCATTTACAATCTCCTGGCCTGCTTTTCCGTGTTTTAAATTAGACTCTGGCCTGCCCATGTGGGCTAACACCTTTCACCTCAAGAGTAATACCAGGCGATCTTGAACAACAGGGCTTTGAGATTTATGGTTTGGGCTTCGAGGTGGAACGTCAGCAGAGCAGCATTCAGGGAAAGAATCCTCACACCTCATTTCTTCATTCAAATGAATTCAACAAATATTTCTTGAGCAGTTAGTTGGAGCCAGGCAATGTGTTACAAATGCAGTATACCTTAGAAGGCCACACAGCCATGGAAACTAATCATTGTAAATACAGGTAATAAAAGTTTTATTGAGGATCTGCAGAAAGTATCTCAGTAACCTACAGTGTGGAATTACCAGCTCTGCCTTGGGAGGAGGGATGTGGAAATTGTCTTGGTTTAGTTGCAGATAACTGAGCCTCTTTTACCTAGTTGAAAGAGAAGAGGATTGAATGTGGGGCGTTAGGTGTTTGTGGTGTTGTTGGAAGGGCTAGAGGAGCAAGTTTGGGCACTGCTTTCAGGAACAAGTCTCAGAAAAATATCACACTAACACAATGGTCTACTATCACATGGCATCATGATACAGAGTGTGGGCACTGTGACAAAATCCAAGGCCTCCAAGACTGTTTGTCGGCAGAAGTGTGCCTAGCCCTCTGTTCTGTCTTAGTGTTTTGGTCTGCTTGGTGGAAGCTTGGCCTGACCTGGAACCCAGGTTGGGAAGAAATCTGGAAAACTTTCCAGCATTAGGCCCTTTATCTGCAGTAAACCCTGCTATCAGAGGGTGGATTGAATGTAAGTAACCAGTCCCTGTTTTCTTACTTCAAGGCTTCATGGACAAAGAGCTGCTGATGCAGGACTTGAGGGATAGGTGAGGACCCATAGGACAGGGTAGGCAAAGATGGCATACTGAGCAGGGGAAGCTATAGTTCTTGCTGATGCCATGGTACAGAGTTGTGAAAATGTGCGCCCAGATCAAATAAGTAAAGTAATTTCAAATTAATGGTAGCATGAGATATAAAACCATAAGCAATGAGACAAGGAAGAAGAGAGGCACAGGGGACTGATTTTGAAGGGTTTGTGACTTCTGATTTAAAGCTGTAAGTAGCAGGAAGGTAAAGATAGGTTTTAAGTAGTATATATATATACACGTATGCATGCATCTGAGTGCGGGCGGGGATGAATTTTCCCTGACTTATCACCATGATGTGCTAATAAATGTCCAATAGCTGACTCTCCAGAGGGAAAAAAGGCACTCTGATTGTAGCATATACTAATTCCTGTGCCATAAATATTCCCAATGTGGCCCATTTCAACCTACCAACATGGTATCATGGAATGGAGAGCTGGGAAGAGATATATAAAATTAGTTTTTGTTGTCTTTTTGTAATTTTTAAAATTAGCATATAGTAATTATAAGGGGTTTCATGGCAATGTTTCCATGCATATAATGTACTTTGATCAAATTTACCCCCGTATTACTTTCTTATCTTTCCTGCCTTGTTTTGAACAATTTCAAACACGTTTCATTATGCATTATTCTATACTTCCATCATATTCACCCCCGTCGTCCTCCCCCTTCCAACTGGCTTCCCCCCCAAACAGTTCCCCCTCCTCCATCCTATGCTTGCATCATTCATATTTATATGCTTGAAACAACTCTGTAAGATTATAGCAACTCCATTTTACAAATGATATTAGATTAGTATCTTACCTGAGGTTACATATCAAATCAGTGTTTTATTTTTTATTTTAGTTATTAATTTTGAGTTGGGGTCTTGTTATATAACCTAGGCTAGCTAAATCTGTGCCTGCCAGTTTTTAAAACCAACACTCTTTTAACAAGAGTAAGCTGCCTCCAGGAGAGTTACAGGGTCAGATCTCTATTTCAGAGAACTCCCCTGGCAGTAGCATAGAATAGGGGTTGGTGGTAAAGCATGAAGTTCTACCATTATATAATGAATGAGAATCTGTGTTCCAATAAAATTTTGTTTACAAGAACAGGTGACAGACCTGAATAGTTACAGAGGTGTGTTGGAGGGAAGCAAGGTCAAAGATGGGGAGATCCTTCAGAAGGCTTTTGAAGAGACTTGGGAGAGAGAGGTGACAAGGCTGAGTCCAGACATGTCCCAGCATCAGGAAGTATGGACACATGTGACAGGACTGTTGTGGAGAGTCATAGTCTTCCAATTCATCATATAAGCATGAGTGAGGCAGTTTTATAAACGCAATGTCAAGAACACTTTGTCAGGTGTCTGGTTTATAACTGTGGACATGGTGGTGCCGTTGGCCAGGACAGAATTGTGAAGAACAGGCATCTTTGGGACCGGTTGTTTTTAATTTGGCATGTTCAATTTAAAGGGCCTGTGGTAACTTCCCATTTGGATGCCCAGCAGAAAAGGGGAATGCATGAGCTCAGGAGACCGATCTGAGCTGCAGCAATCAGTCTAGAGGTAGGTGCTGAAACCATGGCTGTGGATGAACTTGCCAGAATTATGGGATGGCTGAGAATAAGCCAGGAGGACAGAGTTTGGGAGAAACATCTTTAGAGAAAGGACAGGTGATTCAAGCATGAGAGAGAAGTCAATAGTGTTGGATGCCATTGTGGGCGCTGTGATAAAATGCTCAGATCCTGCTTCAGGAAAGGACTATTTTCCAAGCTCCTGTGAGCAGCTCCCAAAGATCACCCTTAGCAGCCAGCCCTCTTTGGGGAGTGCCTCAACTGAAGAAAACTACATGACCCTAGGTCATTCTCTTTTTTGGAGTAGCCCATACCCATCGGTCAGGCCTGTGATATAAAGGCCCAGCTCATCCCAACTTGGGACAACTCATTGTTCCTCAGGATTCCCTGGGGGGTTGGCTGAGGCCTATATTGGGAGTGCACTGTGGCTCAGCTTCTCCCTCTGCCACTTTCCTGTTTTAGGTATTTACATGCACTCCTCAGCAAACCTCCTTCTTGGGGGCCCGGTATGTGGCACGTGCTCCTTCCTCTTGTCTTTGTTGCTCCAGGGTGAGAATTCCCAGGTCCATGTCTTCATTCATCAGATCACCAAAAAACCAATGGAGGGTGAAAACCAAGACTCTGATGCCTTACTGACTGAATAAAGCTTTATTTTAATGCAAAATAAAACAAGAAAAAATTATGTATTCATATATAACATCCAAAATGTTTTCTGTGTTATAAATGGGATCATCTTAAAAAGTTTATAATGAATTCACTCTCCATCCCCATATGCCAAAATACGATTTCACATAATTTATCTTCAGAATGTATGAACAGACTTGGTATCATAAAAGCACAGGAAAGACTAGAAAAAGCAAGGGTATAAACAACAGGTTGTGTTTTATGTTCCAGTAGTAAACAGCACTGTAGATGGACCAGAGTACTTTCTGAATGAGGAGACGGGCTAGAAGAGTCTTTGGGGTTCGTTCACTTCCTACTCTGAGATTGGAAGCCAAGTTGGATTTTAAAAGTTAGTCTGTGTGTGATTGTATGACTATTTAAGGACGTGAGGGAGAAAGAGTTTCACTTAGAAGTTGTAGCTGCCTGTGAGATTCTAGGCTTATTTTGGACATCTAACTTTTTTTTCCTTTTTTATCGGAAAGGTGGCTTTGTAGGGATATCTTATGAACACTCCCCTTTTTGGTCTCATTGTAGTGTCACTTAAGTCAGCATGAACTGGAGTGCAGAGAAACACGACTGTGACTTTTTCTGAATCCTCCTCCCTCCTGTCTAATTGCACAAAATCTGGACTTTCTGTTCTCATGAACTCAGCGAGCAGTAGGGTGTCTACCCAATTTAATACCAGTTTTAAGGTCACTGGTTGAAGATCTGTGTTTAATGCTGATGGGAATTTGACAGACACACATTCCTTCACATATCATACTATGCTGTTCCCTCTACCCTCCTGAAATGCTATGATGTTCCTCCAAAGAAAAGGAATGCTGTGGTTATAGGGTAGGGGAAATACTTACTCTTTCCAGGCTTGATCTCTGTGTATACCAGGGAAAAGAGCAATGAGCCTTCTGATCCTCCCAAAGTTGTCAGGTGGATTTTTTTTCAGGGGGTAAGTTTAGTCCAAGAATTTTGTGATTCTTTAGAACAGATGACAGATCTTATTTCAATTTTATTTAGTTGTAATCAAAAGTAAATCTACAGTGAAGTCTCATGTCTCCTCTATCAGGAATCATACACGGGCTTCATGCATGGGGACAATGTGTCTCTGGATCCCTACCAGGCTCTTGACCTTTGCTCCATGCTATTCTATGGTATCAACACATATGTGCCTAAAAGTCTGAGAATAATGAGCTTCAGAATAATTTGATTTTCAATTTTTGGTTTGCTATTAAATCATGATTTGAGAAAATGTCCCTGTTTTGGAGTGTGTGCTGTCCTACAATTTGATATTGTAGGGAAACAATTTAAGATGAGAGGGATGGCACCACAGCCCAAAGACTTGATAAATTAATGACATGTGACTCTCTGTCTTGTGGAGGACCGAATTCTCCCGCATTTGAAGGTTTCCAATGGTCTGCTCTCTTTCATTTGTCTACTTCTGCAAAAAGGGAGGGAAAATAGGGCTTCTTATAATACCTAGTGACTTAAGGCCAAACATAATTTTGAGTCAGATCCATAGCTGGGCAGGTGTATGCAGTGGGTTTGGAGCACAGTACGCCACTCTATTCCAGGGGGGCTATTAGGGTTCTGAGCTACAAGGAGAACACCTGAGTGAGTTTTCCCAAGCTCATAAATATACCGGGGAGCTATTTCTTGCTCCTGGGCATCTGCTGATTATTGCCTAGACTTCTAAATGCTCTCATAATCTGCTGTCCTGAACACTGGGAAAGCACCTTGTAACCTCAGGTAGGCAACGATTGGAGGTTAGTACACAGGCATTTATAAAGCTTACACTGGGGCTATTCTTAATTGTTGCTTGGCTTGATGGAGCCTCTGTCACAAATGTAATGTTAGTTTCTTTAGGGCAGGATCACATGGAGTGAGTGTTATAATTCAAGCAAGAGAAGAAAGCTGCTATAATCTGTTTTTTGTTCACTTTAATAGTTCCTTCACATCACTGAATGTTCCTTAGGATTAGCAACCAATTTGTTGACTGTGTATAGAGCACAAAGGCATGGAGTAGAGGAGCTTACCCTACGCCTGCACACAGGAGGTATTGTGTGCCCAAGATGACCACACTGGAGGTGGAAATATGGGTATTCTTCATACAGGGGCCACTTCTCCAAGACCTAGAATTCTTACCTTGTACCACCCCTTGCCATGTTCAGTGGCCTAGCTTTACCTCAGAGGATGCCTTCTGGTATGAGTATGATCAGTGGTCTGCAGAAACCTGATTAAAATATGGAACATGCTTGAAGAACTGACTTTTAATGCTTTATAGCAAGTTATATTTCTCTCATCTAACCCTTTTATTCTTTGAGGTTTGTTTAGCTTAATGGAAAGGCAACATTTAGCATATTGGTAAAGGAAACCCACAGCTTACCTGCACTACACTTTAGGTGAGCAGGGCATGAGATCCTCAACCTAGTTGAACAAATTACAGATGATCTAATGGTACCTGACTTAAGAGAGATGAAAAGGACAAAAACCAACTTGAAAGTCTATTTTTCAGAGGGTCACGGTAATTGTGGTGTAGAAAATGATCTCTCTTGAAGTTTAGTAAACAAAACTATTTATGACTAAAACCAGCAGTTGCATCACTCCTGGTAACAAAACTCTATTTTAAATTAAAAAAGAAAGACTAAACTGGGCCAGATGGATACGCTGTGTATTTTGTAATACTATTAACTTATTAAATCCTGTCAGCCAGAGGTATCCTACTCTCCGCCAAAATATGTCTGAATTGAACCCAAGACTTTTGGGGGAGGGAATGAAGAAGGAATGTGAAGAGGCTTAGAGTGTTTTAACAGTCACTGAATAACTCAGACTGATGCTCCCAGGTTTTGCTGTTTCTCTGTCTTTTGCTTGTGTTCTCATTTGGGTCAGGTTGTAAGTTTGAGATGTTCTGTTTTTGTAGAAAATAGCTGCAAATCTCAAAAGAAATTGGGATGGGTTTGTTCTATTTAAGTACTTTAGAGGGTGGAGTTTCAGTTTCTCAAGCCATGAGACTTCCCTTTTCCATTTGAAGACTTGGCTTTACCCTGACATTTGTTAAGGAAGCGTGGTAGATGCAGATTTCTTTAACCTTATGTTTCTTCTCCTTTCCCTTCTTTCTCCTTCCTCATCAAACTTTCCAGGAAGCATTTTTATCTTCCATTCTTCATACTGGTATCTTTCATTCTTCATTCTTCACACACACACACACACACACACACACACACACTTCCATCTGCTACTGCTGGTCAACAATTTCCAGTGGCCATGGTCAGCTCTTCACTGTGCCTGAGTGCAAATGGGTACTATTTGGCACTGAGTGTAGAATTGGTATCCCTGGGGTATTGCTTTCCTGTGTGGCCTGACCAGCAGGCCCTTTAAAATTTTTTTTCTAAGTACACTTTAGCCCTCAAGTGGAAATCTTAGAGACTCCAGTTAAAATAATTATAGGCAGGAGATTTGGGGATGACTCTGAAACCAGCTATCTCCAAGTGACTATGCCTGGGATATGGGAGGAAAAACAGTATGGACTATGGTAGTGTCAACCTGCTCACTGTGGTCCTTAGAATATAGTCCTTCCAGAAGCTCTGACTGGCTTTGCACCTCCTCCCAGGGCACTAATACTGCATTCACATTTTACTGACTTTTTAAATCAAAAAGCAAGGAAACTTGTGCAATGTTGCCATCAAATGAATGGTATCAGGAACCTGAGAAAGACAACAAATAAAGAAATGCAGTCTTCCTCTGGACATAAAAAGTTTTAAGGAGGTCACTTGCCATGTTTGCTGTTGATTTTTTTTTTCTCAAAGAAAAAAAATCTATTCTTACTATGATGCCCATGTCTGCAGCCCCTTTACTCTGCCACTCTGCAGGCATCACAGCCCCAGTGAGGGACTGAAGCTGGGCCTCTGAGTGGATGTTGCTATCCAGCAGAGACTGCCTCTCTACCACCAATCTGCAGGGTCCGGGGTGCACACATCAGCACAGGTTATCCAGCGGGGAGTGGGGTAGACACACATAGGATATCTCTATTGTTAGTTGCTTATTCAATTCTCATTGAACTGACCAATTCTGCAAGCCTTTCAAGTATCAGGAAGTACTGTTTTTATGACCCTATCCCTCTTCTTCCTTCTGAATCCACCCCCTAACCTCCTGCTCCTTCTATTCCCCTCTGATTAGCAGGCAAGTGTTGCATCCTCAGTGATTAAAAAAAAAAAAAAAAAAAAGCTAGTCCGTACCACAGAGACTCTTAACCTGGAGAAGGGGTGAAGGTCTAGGAAGAGCAAAGGTGGTATTAGATGTCTTCCTTGCTGGGCTGATCTTGTTGGTGTTCAGCTATACAGCTGCAGTCATGGGGCTTTTCTGCCGGGGATCCTGGGTTCGGAAGGAGTACTGGTCAGGGCTGCCCCCTCGGGGCCCTGCTCTGCCCATCTCCTGATAGATTGGCACTCTGTGGTGCTGAGGAGGGGAGGGCGGAACATCTTGTCGGAAGGGTCCTTTGTGCTGGGGGGCTTGTGGGGGTGGGTAGTACTGGGCATAGTGGAGATCTGCCAGCCTTAGATCTGGGGGACGGGGATAGCTCCCTTTGGGGGATGCCCAGGATGAGCGCCTGGGTAGTATGGAAGCTCCCTTTCCTTGTAGAGCCCTCGGTGTGCCGCAGTCAGGTAGTCTGCAGGGTCTGCTGGTCCTCCCCTGGAAAGAAAAGCAGAGACAACTGTGTCAGCAGGGTTCCTGGATGAAGACCACATTCTTTAGCCTTCTGCGCAGTTCGTTATGGTAATTGACTAGGCCTGGACAATGGGATGTGAGTAGAAGTGACCTGTGTCCACAAAAACAATTGAAGGAAACTTCTTCCTTTTTATCTTTCTTATTGCCATCTTACACCTCGAGGTGAAAATCACATAGTGAGGAAGAGCAA